AAAAAAAAAAAAAAAAATGAAGCCATTTGCGGGTAACGCTTACAGTATAGTTCATTTCTGTTATCATTTTCTACTCTGCAAATTGATAATGTTGCTAAAGAAGTCAAGTATACTGTGACTAGGAGCTTACTACCGAATACTTTTATCTTGTTAAAATGTTCTGTTTGAAAAAAATATTTTCTTCAGGCTTTTCTAAGTAGTTAATTATAGGGTTTTTGCCATATGTCCTTATGCATCTTTGTAGTGAATGCATCAGTTTACTTCATATTATCTGCCCTATTTTCATAAGCGCCTTCAACGGTTTTCAAAATGCAGCTTCTGTAAGCCCTAAAACTAAAGCTCCATTCTGCGTAATCTTAAGCATTTATCCCAAAGACTTGCGTTTTATAAACCTTTAATCCAGGAAACACAACAAATATTTGTTCACAAAGTTTCAAGCAATCTTTGCTTATCTCTTCACCTTTATTATTATGTTAGACAAAAAATCTTCTTTTATACATAGAAGTAGGACAACAAAAACAAACACACATTCCCCGTTGCTGAAACATTCTAAAGAACCATACTGAGAGTCATATAATCAAAGTTTATTCGCTCTACCGACAAATCCAAAAGTGTTAAAATAAAGTCCAATTCACTACTTTCTACAGTGTGAGATCAGAAACAAAAAAGGAAAAGCAAAAACATGATTCAGTTTTTTCCACAACCATCATCAACTCCAGTGACAGAAAATAAGGGTTTTTTTTCGATCGCCGATATGAAGCGTTCACGCACATTTCAGACAGCTACAGAAATTGATTACTGAGCTCACTTACGCCAAAACTGGAAGGTATAAATAACGCAAAAACTCGGTATTCATAGGCATACCTTCCTGATGCCTATCAAAGAAAAAAGTAAATTAAGACCCAAAAAAAAATGAAAAACCGACAATTAGTGATTTCTTCGCCCCTCCTAATTCTTGCTATTTCGCAAAGAAGAAATATTTACTCGGTTTACTCACGTCTGCCAAACTCGAGAGATGCACTAAATTAGCCACTCCATGAGTTAGCACTTTTTAAAGCGAAAGGTGTGAGCTACTTAATTCAGTTAAATATTTGTCAACTTTCAACTAAAAACGTCCCTAAAACATTCTTGATTTTTTTCCCACTCAGAATCTTTTCAAATTCTTCAAAATTGGACCGTAACGAACCGATTCAGCGAACTATTCCAAGTTTAACGATATGATTTTTTAAAAACCTGCACGTTATTAATAGTTTTCACCAACCAATTTACATTTTGTTCGAGTTTCCGGAAGACGGAGGGGAATCAGGCAAATCAAAATTTACTGCATCATAGACCATTCAATACAAAAACCAAAGTAAGCTTTCTGAAAAGTAGATTTTGATAAAATCTAGATCTAATTTCCAGAGCCCTATTTAGCGAAATACACCAAGTTCCTGAAACCGCAGTATTGTTTTAGTGAAGCACTTAATACTGACAAGACTTGAATGTTGAGACCAACAGATCAGATACTCTTACACCAAAGGATTCCAAAATCACAAAAGAAAAATAGACGATGACAGCCTGATCATTAAAGTGTCAACAACTTTATTAGGACGACAAAATGGTGTCAGAAACTCTTCAGCAGAAACCAAAAAATGAAACAGAAACAACTTTTTTTAGACTTTAGAGTCAGCAGAATGTACCAATTCACCACAAGTCCTCAGGTGCGTATTTCTCTTTGAAACAATTCAAGGAGTGGCTAATTCAGATCTGCTAATTAGAGAACTATTTATGCAAATCACAAACAAGTTTTTCAATTTTGACAAACTTTGCAAGAGCTACATCTTCGCATTGTATTTGAGTCACTTTTAGCAACCATACAACTATTCACATTTCATATTTCAAATCCCACAGCCGCAAACTCAAAACTAATACATTTAAAAGCAGAATTATTATCTATATGCCTCCCAGACCTTACATAAAGTTTTATAGTTCATAGCAGGACTGGTCAGACAAGACTTCTTATACATCTAGGTTTTTTTCACGAGAAATTCTAGGCTTCATGTAATGATGAGGTTAAATTTCGCTTATTATGCCTGGAACTAAGAAAAAAACAATTTCTACAGAAGTGCATGCAGAGTTACTGCAACTTTCAAAAACCATCAAACAACTATCAGGAATACCTCTAGTTCACTCCAGGCCATGAATCAGGCCCCCATGAGATGTCTCTTACTCTCTGGGCTTTTATAAGGAAATATAGAAACCGACTAAAAACAATCCTAGAAATATTCAAGAAAAGCTTTTAGAGTTGGGTAAATAATACTGTTCCAAATGACGCATTCATCGTTCACAGGAAAATATCTATTTTATGCTTTAGAACGTAAGAACAAAAACAGTAGCCCCAAAAGGTCTGCACAAAAACAGATTAACAAGGCCCAGCTTTTGAGATGCTGAGCAAAACAATACGATCAACAGATGGTTATTGGAAATTTCCACAACTCTGAAAAAAATTATGCCAAAACTAATATGCTGTTCATAGAAACCCGTCCATTCCCTAACATCCTGATAGCAACAATAAGCTCTGTTAGCATTTGCCGTAAGTTACAGGCTTTGTTACGTTAAATAATTTTGATGCCAAACGCGTTAACAATTATCGAACTATGCCAGTAAAAAGCACTCAATAACGATAATGGTCCGGCTTATACGGGCCTTCAACTTTCACACCAATATAATCAGCCTGTTCTTGCGTCAGCTTCGTCAATTTGACACCAAGCTTGTCCAAGTGAAGTCGCGCCACCTCCTCATCAAGTGTCTTGGGAAGAACATACACACCAACCTTATATTCCTGCGGAGTTCCATGTTTAGTATACAGTTCTATTTGGGCCAAGACCTAAAATAAAGAAATAAACTTCACAGCCCGTTTCATTTTTATTAGTGCGAAGAAAAAATAGTTCTATGAAGTCGGCAAAACTTAGGAACCTGATTCGTAAAAGAGCAGCTCATTACGAAAGACGGATGGCCAGTAGCGCAGCCCAGATTGCATAAACGACCCTCAGCTAAGAGAATAACATGGCGGCCGTTCTTCAACTTGTATCTGTCAACCTGAAAAGAAGAAGGTAACCAATCTGCTGTTTCAGGGAAAAAAGATAAGGAAGAATTACAAAGGTATCCAAATTATACAGCAGAGCAAAGACTTATACCTGTGGCTTTATATTAACTTTTTCAACAGCATTGGCCTTCAGCCACTTAACGTCGATTTCGCAATCAAAATGGCCAACATTACAAACTATTGCATCTTCTTGGAGCTCAATTAGGTGTTCACCACGAACAATATCTTTGCACCCGGTAGTCGTCACTACCACTTGTCCTAAATGAGCGACCTCCTCCAGTGTCTTCACCTCATAACCTAAAAATAATATAAAATCGTGGAAGATTATTTGTGGTAAGGAAAAAAACTGAGGGACTACTTTAGAGCGAAAACACTCGTGACGACTGCGATGATGACAAAAAGATACTTTTTTTTTTAAAACACAGGTGGAATTCCTTTTATATGAATATCTAGACAACCAGAAAAAAAAAAAGAGAAAGAAATGCTATTTAGTAATATGCTACATTACTGGATGTGCTTTTTGTGAACTTAAAATGAAGTAACAGTGTGAATGATTTACCTTCCATAGCGGCCTGCAACGCATTAATGGGATCGATTTCAGTTATTATAACGCGGGCGCCAAACGATCTTAAAGCAGCTGCAGAGCCCTTGCCCACATCACCATAACCACAAACAATACAAATCTCAAAATCAAATCTGTACAAGTGAAGGTTGAAAAAAAATATTATAGTGAAAAGCTTTTCCCCAAAAAATTTTTAATAATTAAGCACACATTTTAAAAAAGCAAAACAAAATTAGAAGATAATAGGCAGACCAAATAAGGGCTTACTTTTCCTGCAAGCATCACATCGGTTGCTCGTTTAATACCGTCAGGAAGTGACTCTCGTATACCGTAAAGATTATCAAATTTAGATTTTGTTACGCTGTCATTAACATTGATTGAAGGAATCTAAAAGAAAATTATATAGGAGAGGTCATAAACACTGGTAATTTTTACAATTTAAAAAAAAACCTTCAGTGTCCCTGCTTTGAGCATCTTAACTAGATTATGAACTCCTGTTGTTGTTTCTTCACTCAGTCCAAAAATTCCTGGCAGCGCTTCCTGATACTTAGTGTGAACCAAGTTGGTAAGGTCACCACCATCATCCAAAATCATATTAAGCAGCTGACCATCTTTAAACCTTAATGTCTAAAGCGACGATTTAAGAATTTTATGAAAAAAGTAGAATTCCAATCGTTATAACGAAATTTAATGAAAGAATAACCTGAACAATACACCACTCATATTCTTCTTCTGTTTCGCCCTTCCAAGCATAAACAGGAATACCAGCTTTGGCAATAGCAGCCGCAGCATGATCTTGAGTCGAAAAGATGTTACAGGAGGACCACTGCACCTAAAAATGACTTAGCCATATAAAGAACTTGAAGGATGTCTTGATAATTTAAGAAAACCGGCCACAAAAATTCCTTCCAGATTCCCTACCGTTGGCACTTTTTAAATAACTCATCCCGCAAAAACCAAAGATTAATCTAATTTCCACGCTATCACATCAGTTACGGAAAAAGCAACAAACCTCAGCACCAAGCTCTACCAAAGTCTCTATAAGCACAGCCGTTTGTATAGTCATATGTAAACAACCAGCTATTCGAGCCCCCTTCAGCGGTTTCTGCGGACCATATTTCCTACGCAACGACATTAGACCGGGCATTTCTTCTTCCGATAATGATATGTCCTTTCTACCCCATTCGGCTAGCGAGATATCAGCTGAACAAAAAAACCACACTTCAGCAGGGACTAGTAAACGCAAATCAAAGTTAGAAAAGTCATTTAAAATACTTGAAATGAACTGACCAACTTTGTACGGAGGCTTATCTGGACTATTTTGTGGGACAGCCATTTCCTACTGACCAGTTCGAACAAATCGCAACAGCCTTTGGCAGAAAACCGCTGAAAAAACTGCAGGTTTCGTTAATTTCTTCAAAGCAACATAATAAAATACACGAGGACAAAATATGAAAAAAACAACTACATAAATGATCTCGATTACGCACAAACTATCAACTTCATAGACTACAAGACAAAAAGAACTTGCTAAGTACCTCTACAAATAAAACTTGAAAATAAATAAAACTCAATTTTTACAAAAACTTCAGCCTGTTACAGCGAAAGGTGAGCCAAGACGAAGTCATCGAAAGCGA